ACCCCCTAATGCATTCCATTTGTCAACCACTCTGACACTAAAAAAGTTCTTTCTAATATCTCTGTGGCTTATTTGGGCACTCAGTTTCCACCTGTGTCCCCTTGTGCGTGTTCCCCTTGTGTTAAATAGACTGTCTTTATCTACCCTATCAATCCCCTTCAGAATCTTGAATGTGGTGATCATGTCCCCCCTAACTCTTCTGTCTTCCAGCGAAGTGAGGTTTAATTCCCGTAGTCTCTCCTCGTAGCTCATACCTCTCAGTGTGTGTGTGTGTGTGTGTGTGTGTGTGTGTGTGTGTGTGTGTGAGTGTGTGTGTGTGTGTGAGTGTGTGTGTGTGAAATATATTTAGTAGACATAAAAGAGGAAATATAAATTTATTAATAAGGCGGGATCCACGAGCTAATAGCTCGATTCTGCAGACACAAATAGTAAATACACACACACCAAGGTTAGATACAGCCCACAACAATGTGTATGTGCGTGTGTGTAATATAAAGCAGATATAATAAAGCAAACAGGTAGGGAGTCATTACATTAGATAACCGACGGTTGGATGATGGCTCCAAGAGCTATGCTCGATATTGCTGGCACAAATGAATACAACGATTACACGCTTAAGAAAAGCATGTAATTATGAAAAGAAGGCAACTAGCAAGGAGAATGTCCAAACATATACCACGTGACAAGTTCCAGAACTGAGAAGTATGAGTTTCTAGGAAAACTAAAGAAATTTATCAAGTAAATGGAAGATAAATGAATTAGATAAGGCATAAAGGCCACATTCAGAATTGTCTCGACTTGCTGATACACGAACAAGGGGATACAAGCGGAAGTAAATTATCCAAATAGGCCACAGAACATTAGAAAGCAATTATGGTGGCGGAATAGTGAACAACTGGAACATAATGAGAAGTGAAATGATGGAGGCAAACTCTATTCACCGTTTCAAATGTATATATGACAAGGACCAATAAGTCCGGAAACCAATACATGAAAAGGTTTAAAGCCACCCAACCGACAGATGATAAAATAATTAATGAAATTGACGGTATTTCGGACTGTCTTGGATCTACCATTATTTTCTGGCTGCGTATATAGTTTTCAGCCACGTTATTGTAACTTATTGTCTGTATAACATTACAGTTGAGGGGCAGGATAAAAAGGCTGAAACTCAACTCCCGCAAGCACAGTGAGTTGAAAACACACACAGGAGGAAGCTGAAGGGAGGGAAATAAAGATATTAAGCTATGTAGATTATAAAATATGTAGATATCAATAAGACAACCAAACTCATCTTACCCCGGTGGTTAATGCATTCCAAAGAGTTCATTCTTAAAACAAATTTATCGTATTTATAGATGGCAACGGACGTCCCTTCATCCTGGAGAAGGTCTGCAACGGACGTCCCTTCATCCTGGAGAAGGTCTGCAACGGACGTCCCTTCATCCTGGAGACAGTCTGCAACGGACGTCCCGTCATCACCCTGGCCACAGTCTGCATGCGTTAAGCCCTCCGAACATCTTATCTCCCTCCAGCAAGAGTCTGCAGTATCAGTTCTCCTCCGTGCTCGCCTGGGGAATTATGGAGACAGTGCGGTCATCTGGCCGTGTGATAGTGTGGGCAGGGATCACGACGCCGCCTCCACCATGTCTCTGATATGCCTCAGAAATTGAACTGTGTGTACTCACCAAGTTGTGCTTGCGGGGGTTGAGGTCTGGCTCTTTGGTGTGTGTGTGTGTGTGTGTGTGTGTGTGTGTGTGTACTCACCTAGTTGTACTTGTGGGGGTTGAGCTTTGGCTCTTTGGTCCCGCTTCTCACTAGGCAATCAACTGGTGTACAGATTCCTGAGCCTACTGGGCTATCATATCTACATTTGGAACGTGTATGGAAGCTGCCTCCACCACATCACTGCCTAGTGTATTCCATCACTTAACTACTCTGACACTCAAAGTTCTTTCTAATGTCCCTGTGGCTCATTTGGAACTGTGACAAAGTTTCCACCTGTGTCCCTTTATTCGCGTACCACCCGTGCTAAACAGTTTATCTTTTTCTACCCTGTCAATTCCTCTGAGAATGTTATAGGTAGTGACCATGTCTCCCCTAATTCTTCTGTCTTCCAGTGTCGTGAGGTTTAGTTCCAATAATCTTTCCTCGTAGCTCATGCCTCTGAGCTCAGTGACTAGCCTGGTGGTACCTCTGAACCTTTTCTAACTTCGTTTTGTGTTTGACTAGATGTAGACTCTAGTCCACATCTAGTCAAAACGCTGGGGCCGCTTATTCCATTTTTTGTTCTGACATATTAGGTATACAAAGGTCTGAATGATTCCTTACATAAGTTTCTGAAGGCAGTTCTTATGTTCGCAAGCCTTGCATGCGCCGCTGATGTTGCCTTTAGAGGACAGGTCTGGTGTGATATCAACCCTCAGATCTTTCTCTCTTCCTGACCCCTCAAGGATTTCCTCTCCCAGCTGGTGCCTTGTGTTTGATCTCCTGCTCCCTATGCCTAACTTCATCACTTTGAACTTGCTCGAGTTAAACTCTAGTAGTCATTTGTTGGACCATTCCTTCAGTCTGTCTGTCATCCTGTAGCCTATTGCTGTCCCCTTCTGTCTTAATCCTTCTCATAATTTTAGTATCATCAACAAACATTGAGATGAATGAGTCTATACCCTCTGGAAGATAATTCACGTATATCAGGAACAAAATATGTCCTGATGGGACCACACACACAACCCTGTGGGACTCCGCTGGTGACATCACGCCAGTCTGAGGTCTCAACCCTCACAGTAACTCTCTGCTTACTGTTGTTTAGGTACTCGATTATCCACGGGAGCACCCTACCCCTTACTCCAGCTTGTTTCTCCAAATTATGCAGCAGTCTCTTATGGGGGTATGATGTCAAAAGCTTTTTGACAGTTCAAGAAAATGCAGTCTGCCCATCCTTCTTTTAATTAATAGCTTATCGTGTGGGTGTGTACTCACCTAGCTGTGCTTGCGGGGGTTGAACTTTTGGCTTTTTGGTCCCGCCTCAAATTTTGTATGTGGTGATCATGTCTCCCCGAGCTCTTCTGTCTTCCAGCGACATGAGGTGCAGTTCACTCACCCTTTACTCATAACTCATGTCTCTTAGTTCTGGGTCTAGCATAGTGGCATATCTATGAACTTTTTCCAGCTTCGTCTTGTGCTTGACAAGGTACGGGTTCCATGCTGAGGCCGCGCGTGTGTGCGCGCGCGCGTGTATGCACCTAGTTGTATTCACCTAGTTATGCTTGCGGGGTTGAGCTCTACTCTTTCGGCCCGCCTCTCAACTCTGTCAGCTGTTACTGAATACTAACTAATTTTTTTTCCACACACACACACACACACACACACACACACACACACACACACACACACACACACACAGAGGAAGCAGCTTCGTAACAGCTGTCTAACTCTTAGGTACCTATTTAGTGCTACGTAACGGGCATCAGGGTGAAAGAAAATCTGACTATTTTATTTCTGCCATCACCGGGGATCGAACCTGGACCCTAGGATTACGAGTCCAGAACGCTGTCCACTGTGAGCTATCAGGCTCCTATGGTCCCCCTGTGTGTGTGTGTGGACTGTCTGTTTGGAATGTAAGTCTTTTATAAGTCTCGTACTCCAACAATCTGCTCAGAATGCCACAGAACATCAAGACATTTTTGTCTTAACTGAACACTTAATGTGGCTCATCAGCATTAAAGAAGGGCATTAAGCTCACATTATTTGTAGATAATGTGGAATGTAACCCTTTATATGTGACAGTAAGAGATTGCTGCCGGAAATCAGCTGGAGGGACACGGCGCTAAGACATAATAACACTAAGGATACCGTCACTATTCTACAAGAATAATATGGCTTCCAAGGGGCGTGTATGTTACCTTGTAGAATCTTGAAATTTTGACCTGTGGTTTGACCGTGGTGGCTGAATTTAATCAGGAGACACGTGGGTGCTGTTCTATGCCTTTTTACAAGTCACATTACTATAACGACGGACACGGCTTTCAGTCCGTCCTAACTACAAAAGTGGAGTATGATCCAGTATATATCACTCAGTAAGCAATTGTAACTGGCAGCAATTGCAGTTTACATCGAAGATTCACTTCCTTAGATTTTAATTAATCATGAAACAACCTCATTCCTCCACTTTTGTAATATGTAGAAAAATGAACTATAAATTTTCCATGGAGGGTTTACATCTCCGGGGTTTAACTATCTTTACCTTACGAAACTTAACCTTACGTAACCTAAACCTAACTTAAATAAACATTATATTGTTCATTATCTTCCACAGCATCACAAGCACACCCACAACCTTTGTAAACTCACGTTTGAGAGTTTCGCGTGTTTCTCTTAGAATAACTTTTCCTTCTATTTCAGTATTGTCTTCCTAGAAAATCTAATTTATACCTCTTACCGATCATTTATATCGGAATCATTTATAAAGGTGTTATAAAATATAATAGCAATTGGTGTCCTGGAATTCTTCCTATTACAATATCCCGAGGAGAGTAGAGGATGACGATACAAATTGATCGTTATTCGGTGATGACATCAATTAGACGTCAATGCTCTAGCACCCAGCACATCAGTGTGCAAGGGGGGAAAAATAACTGGTTTGGTTGACATGTAAAACATCTTCGGGTAATAATAGTGGAGTGAAACAAATGAGTTGTCCCTGTACTCACCTAGTTGTGTTTGCGGGAGTTGAGCTCTGGCTCTTTGGTCCCGCCTCTCAACTGTCAATCAACTGGTGTACAGATTCCTGAGCCTATTGGGCTCTATTATATCTATATTTGAAACTGTACATGGAGTCAGCCTCCACCACAACACTACTTAATGCATTCCATTTAACTTACCTTAGCTGTATTTAGCTATCAGTATTTTTAAAGACTTAAGTGCCAAGAGCTGAAGCCATGGGTGCCGTGCCCAAGCCATGGGTGCCGTGCCCAAGCCATGGGTAACGTGCCCAAGCCATGGGTGCCGTGCCCAAGCCATGGGTGCCGTGCCCAAGCCATGGGTGCCGTACCCAAGCCATGGGTGCCGTGCCCAAGCCATGGGTGCCGTGCCCAAGCTATGGGTGCCGTGCCCAAGCCATGGGTGCCGTGCCCAAGCCATGGGTGCCGTGCCCAAGCCATGGGTGCCGTGCCCAAGCCATGGGTGCCGTGCCCAAGCCATGGGTGCCGTGCCCAAGCCATGGGTGCCGTGCCCAAGCCATGGGTGCCGTGCCCAAGCCATGGGTGCCGTGCCCAAGCCATGGGTGCCGTGCCCAAGCCATGGGTGCCGTGCCCAAGCCACGGGTGCCGTGCCCAAGCCACGGGTGCCGTGCCCAAGCCACGGGTGCCGTGCCCAAGCCACGGGTGCCGTGCCCAAGCCACGGGTGCCGTGCCCAAGCCACGGGTGCCGTGCCCAAGCCACGGGTGCCGTGCCCAAGCCACGGGTGCCGTGCCCAAGCCACGGGTGCCGTGCCCAAGCCACGGGTGCCGTGCCCAAGCCATGGGTGCCGTGCCCAAGCCATAGGATGCCGTGCTCAAGACACAAACGTAATACTTAGTGCCGTAAACAATTCGTGGCGTCTGGGCCTCGGGGTTTTCAAAGAATTTTGGGTAGAATTTACACAGTTATGATGTGAAAAGTCGAGTTCCACTTCTGTCATATAAATCTCGCGAGTAAAATGAAATTACACTTATTTCAGCCTGAATACAGCCTAAAGGCTTGTATTCAGCCCGAATACACGCAAGGGGGCGGCGAGTATTACTGGGAACGAGGGCAAAACTTCCCTCATTCCGTTAGATGCAGAGAGAATTCACACGGTGTAAGATGACTACAAATTCCATAAATTTTAAGTGTTGTGAAAGATGGTTGATATATATATTGTGACGGTAACGCGTTGGTGTTCGGCTGTTCAAAAGCTAGGGGTATGGCCTCGTCACATATAGAAACAAAAATAGAAAATCTGGAACTTCGTCTGTGGTAAGGTAATGAGAAGACACACAAAACACAAGTAAATTTAACAATGAAATTTTAATTACGTTAGAAAAGCAAAACATGAATAAAATGGACATACAAATTCGTATAATAAAATCAATGAATCAAAATAGTAAGAATAATCAAATGACAAAATGAAAAGTTACGTTAAGACAAGTGAGTAATAACAAGTGAACGATATACAATCAAATAAGAGGTGCAGGAATATTGGCTTTAAGCTAGCACCTCTCTTAGTACACGTAAGCCACGGCTTAGTCTACCAACGAGACGTGTTAACCTGTTGAAAGCACTAGATATTCTGAGGACTGAGGTCGGGGCGGCCCCAGACATCAGGTAGTGTGGTGGGTGAGAGCAGGTGCAACTGGACCCGCAGCCAATCAGCGATGAGCAGGCGACAAGACAGGTAGTTTGGTGGTTCGAGGTGGAGCAGGTGTTCCTGGCTGCATACGTTTTGCTCTCTGGCAAACCTTGGAGATGTTGTCGTTGTTGGATATTTCTTCCATACTAGTTTTATATAGATGTATATATCGACGTATTTTGGAGGGAAGAGCAGGCTCAATCTCTTGAAGGAGATTATCGTCACAATATATAGAGAGAGAGTACTCAAGACGCCCTCTATGGTGTGTATTTTGAGGGCGTAAATATGGTAAAATTCGTCTTAAGTTTGTTACAAATTTGTCTTATATATGTTTAAATATGTGTGGAAAGATTTTGTATGTAATCATGTATATATGTATGCATGCAACAAAGATAAAAAAAAACGTTGATGATCCGGTAATGCAGAATAACCACACGCTGTTATCCTTTCAATTCTCACTGTGGTTATTCTGCATATGTATGCATATTATTTAAGTTAGAAAAATTATGATCAAAATTTATAAAGCACTTTTGTGTACTATATTGCATCGTTAAGGGGAGTAAACGCTGTTTAATGATTGATACTACTGCAGCGAATGGAATATTTTTTGTTATATTTTTGCATGTGTGTGTGTATAAGCATTCTTGTGTGCGGTTTTAATAATTTGAATACGATTCTTGCTCAATACGAGGACATTTGGGCACTAACTTTCACCTGATTCCCCTGTTCACCTAGTAGTAAATTGATACCGTGAGTTAGGCAACTGTTGAGGGTTGCATTCTGGGCTAGGTCAACCGTTTTTCTAAGGGGACGTGAATAAAGGCCACCAGGTTTCCTGTCCCCAACAATGGGAAAGGAAATAGTGAGAGGCGGGCAGGTTGGTGGAGCGAGGTGCAACACCGTCAGCCTCCCGCGGGAGGTCTCCGCGTCTCATCGGACGCACTCTTTCCTTCGCCTTACCCAAGCTCTCCCAGTCACATTAAAATCCCTTCCCAGCAAACACAAATCATCTACACAACGTTCGCCTATCTCTTCCCATAGGTGTGGGAATGATTTGCATTGAGAATGGTGCAGGAGAGCCTTTGAGAAACTTTTACTCAAAAAATCCAAACACAATCATTATTTCCTTCTCATTATTCATTCTCATTATTCTTCTCAGAACACTTCTCATTATTTCCCACGCTCTTTCTCCACCATCTCTCTCCCTCTTCTTTATCTTCCTCTGTGCCGCCTCCTTGCCGACAGAGCGATCACACGCAGAATAAAATCCTAATTCTCCCCTCGGCAGTAATTAGCTTTGTGATGTTCGAGAATTTATCTGGAGAAAGTCAACTCCTGCTTAATGAGTTGCTGATCCAGGCCCAGGAGTTCATCTATTTGCTATCAGAGAATAATTATGTTAGGTCTCTCGGTTCCCGCGCTTATAATTGGACTGTCAATTACTTTTGGGAACGCTCACTTTTCGAACACCAGCCCTTATTTTTTATTATTTTTTATATTACTCCGACGAGCCGTGGACAAAATTTAAATGTGTGTTTTAATTGATTCTGTCTCTCTCTGTCTCTCATTGTTGTTGACTCTTTGTTTTTGTTATTTTTACACAGGTGGGTACACAAGCAGATGACGTGTGACTCTTGTTAGCATGCTTAGAGCTCTCACAACCTGTTGTTCATATTAAACCTTACTCTACTGGTTTTCCCTGAAACACCAATTGGTTTACAATTATGTCCCAAATTACTACTGGTTGAACAGAGACGATCAGTTAAGGATCGCTGCTCAGTCGATCCTCCCTGCCCAGGGCTCGAACTTGGCCGAACCCACTCTTTTTTCCTATTCACTCAATGTTCAGCCCGTCCTCATAAACAAAGGCCAAAGTCCATTCCATGCACCCGCCTAGCTCTCTGTTTATGAATGAAAACGGTATACACACGACTCGCAACTGATGACGTCCGAACACATCTCGAACAAGTGCTTCGCTGACGACTTTTGTTCGAACTACAACGCTGTATATGCTGCAGCCCGTCCTCCAAACAAAGACCCAATAGTGATTCCATGCACCCACCAAACCCCCTGTTTATAAATGAAAAACGATTTACACACAACTCGCAACTGATTTCGTTCGAACATTTCCGGAACAAGTGCTTCACTGACGAATTTGTTCGAACCACGACGCTATAAATGCTTCACCCACGTACTACAAGTACAAATAATCGCCAACAGAACCTAAACACCTAACCTAACCTAATCAATGCCTATATATCCACAATATGCTAATATATTATAATATTAATTTATATTTGAGAAAATTCCCGTTTTGAATGAACAGCATGTAAAAATTGATGTATGTGGCTGTGGGGTTGACCGCTGGATGGAATGGACTTGGTCTGAGGACGGGTTGGTGCGTAGCCAGTACAGCCCGGCCCCGGAATATGTTTGTTTACTTGTTGACTGCAGCCGCACATGTTCACGTCAGCTGACACCACCTTAAAAAAATGATTTTCAAGCCTAATACACGATTATATTTGAGAACCATTTTAAAATACGACATAACTGATTACTATGATGACCAAATCATGCGTGAGAAGATGGACAAACGACGACGTTTCGGTCCAGGACCATTAACAAGTCCTGTGTGAGTGTGACTTTATACCTCTTCGGTCCTGGACCATTAACAAGTCCTGTGTGAGTATGACTTTATACCTCTTCGGTCCTGGACCATTAACAAGTCCTGTGTGAGTATGACTTTACACCTCTTCGGTCCAGGACGGACCGAAACGTCGTCGTGTCTCCGTCTTCTGATGTGTGGTCTGGTCATCATATCTTCAGATACGTTATTCTGACTCATCGTCTGCTTAACTGATTACTAGAACTTCTAACCAGAAGATTTATTAGACATAAGAAATGAACAATCTTGTCTTGTATTTTACAACTATTTGTGTGTTGACAAAATTGCGATGTAACAAGGTTGTAATGCTTGTGTGTGTGTGACGTAGAAAGATTGTGATGGTGTATATAAGCATAGCAAGATTATGGTGATGTGTGTGATGAAGCAGGATTGTGGTGATATTGGTGACGTAGCCGAATTGTGATGTGTGACTTAGCAGGATTGTATTGATATGTGACAAATTCGGATGATGTTTAAGACAGCAAGAGCACAATGGTCGCGATTCAGCTAAAGAGAGACGCCTGCAAGTAGGCAAGAGTGACGCTTGCGATAGCCATGAGTGAGGCCTGCGATAGGCAAGAGAGTGGCGCCTGCGATAGGGCAAGATGAATCCCAGAGGCTGATTCTAATCAGCATCTCGCAAAATTAACCATCCAGTAATGCCCTTCATAAAACCTCTAGGCCTACAATTCCCCTCCCACCACTCCTCTTAGAGTCTTTGATGTAATTGGCGCCCCTTCTCCCTGCATATCCCCGCACCCCCCCCCCCATCTTCCTGCCTCTCTCACATGATCCTGTCTGCAGAATTATGAAGTTATGGTAATCTAGAGTTATGGAGGAGGGCGAGGCAGAGTTATTAGCCCTCCACGGTAATCCCTTCCATTTTCCTCATCAGAGCCCCCGTGCATTATTTAGAGGAGGGCGGAGGAGCTCATTAATATATGCGGCATTGTTGGGGATTTAAGCTAATCTACACTAGGTTCTTTTTCTTATAGGCCTAAGTACAGAAGCCTGGGCCTAGGGGATGATGGACAGACAGACGAAGACATTGACAGACATAATGACGGGCAGCTACGGAGTGAGGAAAAGCGAATAATAATTATTAATAATATAAAACTTCATAATAACAGTATTGACAGATTCAGAAAGTGTTAACCCACGAGTGGCTGAAGTGAAGGGCAGCCAAACAAAGGCAGCAACAGGTTACCAGGTTGTGGAGTATACTGGGAAATGGATGTTATTATATCGAGAATTACGCTCTGTTGTGTCGTTCAAGAAAATATCTTTGACAGTCTTTTATAGGTTGGACAGATATAAGTGAAAATAACATTGCAAATTGGACGCGTATTGCCAACTGCAGTGTTTCTGTATTATGTTTCATCACACGACAGGCCAGCACCAGAGCTTGTGACCCACTGCACTAGCAAGCGAAAAATAATATTTTAAAGAGATATTGCACAAATGAATTGACATACATGTACACAGGTAAGAGATACCGACTGCAGTTATTTTTGTTATTATCTATTATTTCTTGTGAGTTGTTTAACTGTGTGATGTTAGGACAAGCATCTAGTCATTACAAGTGTGTTCCTGCCTAGGGGGATAACACTTATCATATCGCATATGAGTATAGGGGGAGAGGAAGATTGGGGAAGGAGGAATGATACTTCATAGTGTTATCCCTTCTCTCCAGGCTTGGACCTTGGTCTTTATCTTGAAGCTCAAAAGGTTCTTAGTCCTTTATATCTTCTGGAAATCATGAAAGGCCAAGTTCGCT